TTTCAAAAAAAAAGACAAATCGATCACAATTTATTGTGAACTGAAAAATTTTTAAATTACCCAAAAAAAAAAATGGAAACTTGAATGTATAGAGAAATAATCAAGAAATAAAGAAATTTTTGAACCATAGCCAATGAAACTAAAAATCTTCAAAAATGGGTAAGCATAAATCTCAATTTTTATTCAATGAAGAGTAGACGGAAGGCTTGAGGCAAAAATCACGTAATCTTCAAAATTTTTCATTTCCATTGGTTATGATTAATAAAATTTCTTCATTTTTTCAAGTTTCTTTTCTCTATTTAATTTTAAAATTTTTCAGTTCACAATAAATTATGACTGATTTATAATTTTTTAAAAATTTTGGGACTATAATTGCAATTAATTCTTTATTATTATTCTTTTCTTTTCTTTTCTTTTCTTTTCTTTTTGTTTCATTTCAATGGAGGATAAAATCGTCAAAAGAACCTTCTGTGCAAAGAAATGTGAAAGGTAGGGACAAAAATGTCAAAAAAAGAAAGGTAAGGATGTTTTCAACAATAAACTTGAAAGGTAGGGACGTTTTGTGCAAATTACCCTTCTTTTTCTCAGTAATATTTTGAAGGAAACTGAATCATTTATGAGTTATTAGATTTGATTTCGACTAATAGTTCATAAAACAATTACTCTAATCTACTTCCTTAGTTTTATCATTAAAAATTGTCTAATTCTGTCATGGACGAAGATGTCAAAGGGGAAAGAGATTAGAGAGAAAAAAAAAAGACTTCAATCTCTTTCCCGAAAGGAGATGGAGACGAGCCTCGTAATTGACACTATTACCATCAAAATCATAGTGATTTTATTATTATTATTATTATTATTATTATTATTATTGATAGGATAAAGAGAGAACTCTTGGAATTACAGATTTCAAGATGTTATATATACTTAAAATAATTACTTTATTTATGTGTTCATGCGGTCAACCGGTTAATATTTTCGTATTATTAGCTTGTTTCAAATTATATATTTTTACTTAAATCTCAACATTTGTGGCTTTGCCCCGGTGATTATGGATTATTCTAGATGTACATAATTATATACATAAGGGTGTCTATAATGGACACTTGGCACCCCCTATTGGACGGGGTGCCGGTGGGCCAGGCGCGGGGCCCCAAGTGTCCATAATTGACACCCTTATGTACTCCTTAATGTACATCTAGCATAGTCCGGTGATTATAATCCCTCCAAACATTCTCAATATAAGACGAAGATGCTTTTCGAGTTCATTTTCTTAGAATAGATTTTGTAATTTTTTTTTATTATTTTGTTAAGAATGTGTGGTTAAAATTAAGAAATTTTTTTATTTACACAAAATGTTATGTTTTTAGAATGATCTGCAGTTGAAATTGAATTTGAGAAAAAAAAAAAAAATAAGTAGGGCGCCTCAAACAGGGGTGAAGGGGCGTTTTAAAGAATCATGCTTCACTTACAGCATTTTTTTAACAGAATTTTTACATTATTACTTCTAATCATGTAGCGTCACTGTAACACTTGTAAAAATTCTGTAAACAATAATCCTGTACATATGACACCTTCCCGTTTTAAATACACCGGACAGCGTCTTTTCGGAGTTCCTCACAATTAAATAATTGTTTCTTGTACAAGTGTACGTAGGACCATGAGCCATATGATTTTGCAGTTTTTAAAAATTAAATTAACATTTTTCTGTGCAGGACCATGGGGCCACATACTTCAAAATTAAATACACGTTTTTACCGTGCAGGACCACATAGTTTTGTATTTTCTCAAATTTCATTCAACTCTTTTCTGTACGCGTGAAAGTAGGACCACAGAGCCAATAATTTTGGAATATCTCACTATTAGATGAAAGTTTTCTGTGCACACGAGAAATATGCTTTGCCTTCAATAATTGTAGCACAAAATGTTCTCATTGTGCAAATCGTCTCTATAGTTTCAAATCATTTTAACCTTTTTTTTACAAAATTGATCCTTTTTTATTTCATTCAGTCAACATCTTCCGTCAAATGCAAAACGTTCCTATTGTTTGCCTACATTGTACAAATCATTTCAAATAATTTTAATTTTAACATGTGAACTCCTAAATCGATCTTTCTTTGTACAAATTGTTCTTATCGACTTTTTCTTCGCTAAAACATTGTAGAAAGAAAGAAATAATATATTAAAAAATTCTTTCAGCTGGGTCAATTGTGATTTGGATTTGGATTTGGATTTGGATTAAGATTTTATGTGAACACTCTAATAGAAGAAGAAATATCATCTTTAGACACCATTTTTTTATCTTAAACAAAGGCAAAGCAAAATTTTAAAGTCGATGCAGTAGGTATCCATGTTTATATATATATGTGTATGTAATTAGTAATTACCAATGATAAGATATAAGCAATAATTTACTGAAAATGGGTAAATTCCTTAATAAATAAATAAATAAATCTGACTTGTGATAAAAAAAAAAAAAAAAAGATATTGGAGCTTTATACTTGATTATAAAAAGATATAAATGTCATGTGGAGAATGGGTGGTGGTGGTGGTAGGTGAGGAATTGAATAGGAAAGAAGAACCATTTTATATTTGAAGTAAGCCAAGTTGTCCAGAAAAATTGACACCTATAACCCATTATCACATGTGCGTGGGGCTCGTATGAATTAAAAAATGCAAAAAATTGTCTCTCGGCCCATCCTTATTGTGAGTGTATATCAACTAAGATGTCAAAATACTTCTGGCATCCAAGCTTGATTGTTTATTTTTCTATGTAGAATACTGAATTGAAATTGAGAGAAAATTTCACAATAACAAAAATTTTTACCTATCCTAAAGGTAAGAAAAATTGACTAGTCGTAGTTAGGTGAACATTATTTACCATCTTAAGGGCTATTTGGGAGCAAATTTTCCTTCCAAAAAATTGATTTTTTGACCGTTATTTTATTATTTTAGTCGTCATATTTCACTTCTTCTTTCAAAGGTGGACCCCACTTTTCTTTTAGCAGTCAAAAAATCAATTCTCAAAATCTCTCCCAAACAGGCTCTAAATATTTTAGGTAGTTGAAAAGCAATGAATTTAACATCAAGACAAAGAACGTTTGAATGTGGGGGACAGACGTTGGGTCCTACTGGGTTTATCCTTTTATCTTCTTTATTTTTTTTTTATTATCATGTTGGGTACATAAACTTCAACACTCATTTTACATCTCTAAAAAAATGTGAAGAACAGATGAATAGTACGCTCATTAACCTTTCGTCACCTATCGAGCCTAAACTTAGTTAACAATTTTATTGTAATTGGTCTTCCATATAATCGCTAAGGTGAAGCTTTAGAAACAAAAATTGTAACACGAGGATTATGAAAATGTCTTTAGGTTAAAATTAAGTTGGTATATCACACAACAGTTTTGTAGAAGGTATATTGGGTAGGACGGGCAATTAATCATCAATTTGGTATTCAATAGAGTGGTGAAACTTAAAACAAAATTAAAGTTTAGTGATCCAACTAAAAATTAATTAAAATTCAGCGATCCAATAGTAACAAATGAATGTTGAATGAACCAATTGAGATTTTATTGAAAGTTTGGTGATTGCAAAAGAAATTTGCCCTTCTCTAAGCGTTTAAATTTTCGAAGTTATACAGCATGATATTCGAGCAAGTGAATGTTCCAAGTTCAAGTTTCACTATCGACTATGTATCGAAAGTTGTGCACGTGTTAAGTAATTGATGACAAGAATTTACTTATTAAGTTTTTTTTTTTTTTTAATCTCGTCGTCCTAATCAGTTACCATAAAATCACGAATCCTAATACAAAAATAATTTGCAAAGGAAAGAACTAGCAGGTATCGTTGGAAGTATATAAAAAATTGGACCACACCAATAAAGAACTTGGGACCACAAGTTGCATAATGGAGAAGTTGGGTCCCCAAATGTAATTTTCACTCATATACTACAAAAATCCGTGGTCCTACCATCACATGCATGGAAAACGTTTATAATGTAGTTGTCTGAAACTCCAAAATTATTTTACCTCATGTTTTTCAAATGACACTTACCCCCTGATTGGACTCCATTATTGCACCTATCAATGATTTTTTGAAGAATGTGTAATTGGGATAGAAATAAATAAATTATTTTAGCTTTATGTATAATATTATTTTATTGAAGAATATATGATTGATAAAAAGAAAGAAAAATAAATTTTAAGTTAATAGGAGCCAAATAGGGGCTTAGCTTCTCATAAAGTAAAACTCATTTTTTCTCAAAATTATCTTCAATCATACATTCTCATAATAAAATAATATTTCGTGTAAAAAAAAAAAAATCATCTTGTTTAACTACACGTTCTCCAAAATATCTATTTGTATAATTTATTTTTTTAAGATGGGCCCAAGAAGGAGTTTGTCATACACTGAGAAAGTTTGAAATCACGTCATATTGGTTTTTCTTCTTATCAATCACACACTCTCTAATAAAATAATATTACGCATAGACCTAAAAATATTTTCTTTTTTTTTAATCGCACATTTTCAAAAAATTACTTTTCCTCTCATTATAATGTAGAATAAGGGGCCAAACGGTATAAATACATCACATTTTAATCACGTTAAAAAATCATTAACCATCTTAATCAATGTTTTTGTTCCAAAACATTGTTATCTTGCTTCGAAACGTGAAGTAAATAATTATTCTTAATTTTGTTTATGAATATTTTTTATTTATTTAAAAATGTAACAATTCTGTTCCGAAAGTTTATATTACCTGTTCATTAATAAGTAGCTACCATAATTATTGGAGCAAAATTGAATGACTTTCAAATAGATAAGAAGATTAAATTGAACAGCTGTCTTTATTTTATTTGTTTAGGTCTTCACTTGTAAGATAAGAGCGTGTTTGGCTGAGCTTAAAAGCTACACAGCTAAAAAGTTGGATTCAAATTTAATAATTAATTAATTCTTGCATCTGCCGGGGCTTGACAGAATTCCCTATAAATAGGGCTACTTACGCTAGTCCAAAATGCACCAAAGTCTGCAACTTACACTACTTCAAAGAGCACCAAAGTCTGCAATGGATATCCAAAGCAACGTCCTGACGATTACTAGCGGATCCTCACCAACTGACACTTCCTCCAATGGTCAGGCAGCCAAATCCACCAAAGAAAGGATCAAACGCTCTGATTTTCCCAGTGACTTTGTATTTGGCGCTGCAACTGCTTCATATCAAGTATATATGTGTCACATATTATTATACTATTCTGACTTCATTTAAAAAGAAAAAGAACATATATATAATTTGTTAAATTCTGGGCCACATATATAATTTTGCAGGTTGAAGGTGCATGGAACGAAGGAGGTAAAGGCATGAGTAATTGGGATTACTTTACACAGAGTCAACCAGGTCTCCTCTTTTTCCAATCTTCTCATGAATATATTATATAGTGTTCCATGTCTATTGCTGAGAATATGTTTATTGGACTGGTAGGTGGTATTTCCGACTTTAGCAATGGCACTATTGCAATTGATCACTTTAATATGTTCAAGGTATACTTTCAGTAATATTTACTATCACATGCTCTCGACGAGTTAGATAAATTCAACTTTTTTTAACTGGCTTGTACGCTAATATCTATGTTACTTCGTATTAAACATGGAATTAGATGAATTAAAAAAGAAACTTAAATAAAATTCCGAATTTCCCTTCATTTTGCTTACTCATGAAAAGTTTTCCATATTCCTTTTACTCTTAAGACAACTCAAGAATTTTTCCTTTTTTTTAACTCTATATTCATATTTAATAATGCTGCAGGACGATGTTGTCGTGATGAAGAAATTGGGTTTGAAAGCATACAGATTTTCACTTTCATGGCCTAGAATCTTGCCAGGCATGTTATTTTCTAATTACTACTGGAGTTTGTGCATCGTTTTATGATGTTCTATTAAATGTGTGCACTCTATTTTGGTGTTTTAGGAGGAAGACTGTGTCACGGTGTATCTAAAGAAGGAGTTCAGTTCTATAACGATCTCATTGATGCACTCTTGGCAGCTGGTTAGAATCAATTGCATGGTTCTTATATTGATTGTTTCGTAAAAAAACTATTATTGCATAAATCACAATTGGAATTAAGTACAAAATTTGGCTTGTGTGCTTCTCGGAATCATATTTCATATTATCATCTCACATTCTTTCAATCCCTTTTGTGCAGACATAGAGCCATATATAACTATCTTTCACTGGGATATTCCCCAATGTTTGCAACTAGAGTATGGTGGCTTCCTACATGAAAGAGTTGTGTAAGTAACTCAATCTTTCATCCTATAGCACATTACTAAGATATTTATTGAACCTGAAAAGTGAATCCAAATTTTAAAAAAATAAAAATAAAATAATAATAATCATTTGCTCCAACATTATAAAAGAGAAAATACAAAATTTTTATTTAAAAATAAAATAAAATTGATTACAATTTTAGTAAAATGGTGGACAATCTTCTACAAAGATTAAAGTTCCAGCTTAACAAGTTCTACCATATTTTGATCTATTGAGCCATTTTTTGTGTCTATAATACAGGCAGGATTTTATTGAGTATTCTGAGATTTGCTTCTGGGAATTTGGTGATCGGGTGAAATATTGGATTACCTTGAATGAGCCATGGTCCTTTACTGTTCAAGGATATGTGGCTGGTGCTTTTCCGCCCAATCGTGGTGTAACTCCGAAAGATACTGAAGAAACTAAAAAGCATGCCCGTCTTCATAGAGGTGGAGGAAAACTTCTAGCTGCTTTCAAGTATGGAAATCCCGGCACGGAACCATATAAAGTGGCACACAATTTAATCCTTTGTCATGCACATGCTGTGGACATATACAGAACGAAATATCAGGTTTCCACATATTAATTTCATCAGTAATTTTATGCAGATATACATGTTTATATAATACTTTGATATATAGTTTACATAAACTGATATATTTGTACGTACAGGAAAGTCAGGGAGGTAAGATAGGGATTACAAATTGCATTAGTTGGAATGAGCCTCTTACTGACTCTCAAGAAGATAAAGATGCTGCTACTAGAGGAAATGATTTTATGCTTGGATGGTAACTCAATATCTTGACAATAATCATCCAAATTACCTTCTTAATCCATTGTTTTGCACTATCTTTTTTTTTTTTTTTTTTTTTTTATATAATTTCAAGCTGAATCTGTTCAACGACTTCATCTAAAAGTTTAAAAGAATAGAGTTAGAACTTTTTTTTTTTTTTGGTTAAATTCAGTATTCAACAACTCAAACTACAATAATTCTATTTTTTCATTTTTGAATTTTCATCTTTTGAAGGTTTGTGGAACCAGTGGTAACTGGAGAGTACCCAGAAAGTATGATTAAATATGTTGGCGATCGCCTTCCTAAATTTTCTGAAAAAGAGGAGAAGCTAGTGAAAGGATCCTACGACTTTCTAGGCATAAACTACTACACGTCTACTTATACCAGCGATGATCCAACAAAGCCGACAACTGATAGTTACTTTACTGATTCGCACACTAAGACTTCACGTAAGTATCAAGATCTATAATGGGTACAATAGTAAAGTTTATCATCACAAGTTAATTAGACACTAAATGGAACATAATACTAATTACTCCCATTCTTTTTAGATGAACGCAATAAGGTGCCTATTGGTGCACAGGTATGCAAAATCTTGTCCCTTCCCTCGAAAGAAGATAGATTGGATTATATTCTAACAGCTTATGGGTGTACAACTTCAACAAATTATTGAAATGCATAATCGTGTCATATATAAGATTCACAACGATTTAAAATAATTCCTATGGCATAGTTTATTTCTAATTTTCTTATAAAATAATATATATAATAATTAGAATCTTCTTCTTTTGTGTAAGGCTGGTTCGGATTGGTTATACATAGTTCCATGGGGAATCTACAGAGTTATGGTTGATATGAAGAAAAGATATAATGATCCGGTTATTTACATTACAGAGAATGGTAAGTTCGTATTTACTATTATTATTTCATTTATAATTACACAGCAAGATATATATTGAAATGTTTCTAATCTTAATTTGGTGAAAATAATATAACGTGTAGGAGTGGATGAAGTAAACGATAAGTCCAAGACTAGTACCGAAGCTCTCAAGGATGATATAAGGATTCACTATCACCAAGAACATCTCTACTACCTTAAGCTAGCGATGGAGTAATTAATTCATTTAGTTTGTTGTCCAAATTAATTATTATGAATGTATTTACTTCACAGCATTTACTCAATTCGTGCTAAAGATTTTGCTTTCCTTTTTCAGTCAAGGTGTAAATTTGAAGGGTTACTTCATATGGTCGTTGTTCGACAATTTTGAATGGGCTGCTGGATTCAGTGTTAGATTTGGCGTTATGTATGTAGACTACGCTAATGGTCGTTACACAAGGTTGCCAAAACGTTCAGCTGTATGGTGGAGGAACTTCCTCACCAAGCCTACAGCAGTTCCATTGAAGAATGAACCTGAAAAATCTGAAGATCGTCGTAAAAGGCTTAGAGGCAGCACCTAGTTTAGCTTATGAAACTAGTGCTTCCTTGATTTTATGTTGAATAATGCACGGTGGAGGATGTTGCTTTAAATTTTTTTTTTGTCGTTGTTGTTGGTTGAAAAGTCATGTCATTGTTGTTGAATGATGCATGGTTCAACTTGTACTCGTTATGTTCCAATAAAGGAGTTGGGCTCCATGTCAAACTTGCGTGTTGATTTTTATTTTTATTTTTTTTAAGTTGTGCAGTAAAAGATTTGGGACTGGCATAATCCAGTTCTTATTAGTATATTTATGTTTCTTCCAATTCTTTAAAATTTGATAAAAATGGGTTATGCCCAAGGTTCTACGAGGGACCGCAATGAAAAAGGCAAAACAACTAAGCTCCCGTTTGTTTTTTTATTTTTGGAAGAATGAAAATGAAAAATATAGTTGTTATGGCCCATACAAAAAATATAATTTCAAATTTGGTGGCTTGATGTAATTGATAACGGTCATATTTTTCATTTTAATGAAGAAGTAATGAGAACCAAACAGGGGACTAAAATTATTTTAGAAATTTCCTTTCCCATGCAATTCTTGACTGATATTTTTTTTTTTTGGACTTTCATTTTAATCATCATCATCACTGTCCCGTAAAGGATTTGATAAACTTAAATACGGTGGTGGAATTTCAGCCTTATAAATAGAAAATCATAGTTGAATGGGTTACCCTTAATTTGTGCTGTGAGTTGTGCCCCACAACAGATTGCAAAATTATGGTTTGGACTTGATGGGCTCGAAACCAACGTTTAAAACTGTTGGGGCTTTTCCATTTAGGAAGAGAGACAAAAAAAAAATAAAAATTAAAGAGTAAAAATTGTACATAAATATGTACATAAATGTATCGGTAGGTGTGTTCATAAAGGCACCGGCATGACACAGCTGAGATGATTTATTCTTCACCATTGAATCATGCAATAGACTCTTCTACCACAAACACCATCGTGACTTTTAAATACTAATACTCTGTAGCATAACGGGTGCTATCACACGACCTAGGTGGCGTGAAAGTGATAGAACATCATAAATGTAACTCATTTATTTGCTTTTAATGCGATTCATCAATTAATGATACTTGCATGTCACCTAGTTGTTTAATGTGAATGGTACTATATAACATTATTTGAATGTTAAATCACTATACAATGTTGCTACAAATAAGTTAAAAAACAAAAATAAAAATTGACAGAATTATTATAAAAAGACACTTGGCAATTTTTCATTTATTAACAAGAACTAAGGTTAATAATCAAAAGATAAATATAATTGTCAATGGTAATACTAATGGATTCATAACTTTCACACTTTCACATCATACCACAAGCAAATCTTTTTCCCATTCATAAACAATTATAAAAAGCGAAGAAAGCCAACTGTAAATAATATTAACAAGAACTAAAGTTTTCTTGGCATTGAATAAATTAAAATATCCTAACATCAACTACAAATATATGTTAATTATATAAAATATCATGACTTTAACAAAAGATTACATCTAGTTCAACCAATTATAATTCTAAACATAAAAAACATGCAGATGTAGAGTTAGAAACTATTGCCCCAAAAAATAAAAATATTATCACGTCACCCAAAATAAAGTAAAAAAAAAATTAATTATCACCATTTAAACCATTGGATGGAGATGCATTAGACTAAGTTGGTCGAAGAAGAAATTCTTCTGGAATGTGATTTAAGAATGTCTGCATAGATTTCAATTGAGAATAAATTTCTTGAATCTNACATTCGCACTCAACTGGAAAAGGTCAGGAAATTCCTTGTCTTGGAACTTCTTTTTTAAATCAAAGCTCAAGCAGCCTTGTGCAATCTTAACAAATTCTTTTTCGGGCAAAGGTACAAAACATTTGCTTCTTGCTGTTTTGAACCTTTGGAGAAAACTTTCTGCCCATTCATTTGGCATTTGACGTAGATTCGCCAAATCAGCCAAAGTGACTTCAGATTCAGTTTTGTAGAACTGAGCATGAAACAACTGTTCCAGTTGTTGCCATGTTTGAACAGAGTTCGCTGGCAAGTTAATGAACCAGGAGAAAGCTACTCCTGTTAACGAACTGGGGAAAAGTCTCATTTTATGGTAATCGGTTACATTACCACTTTGCAACGTGAATCGCCCTATGTGTTCTAGAGTAGACACCTCTCCCAAACCAGTAAAGAGTGAGAATTCTGGCACTTTGTAACCTCTAGGCCATGGATATGCTTGGTCTACCCAATCAGGATATGGTTTTGTGTACGTCGGCCTAATGACAGGATGCACCCCAAAGGCCATCTGATCCTGCACGATTTTCATAATCTGATTCCTCAACATGACATTGGGATCATACGGAATTCCTACAGGTTGATTAACCGGTTGATTTGCATGAGGCCTGATGTTTGGTCCTTGGTTGGCAACAAAATTACCATAATTAGGGTCATTACCATTAGGTTGGACATCTACCCCCTCGTTACCACGTGGAATATTCTGTCCATTGTTTAGGACATTATCTCTCACGTTTGGATTACCCCCCAAGTTAGGCATACCACTACTACTACTTTGATTTGGTATTGTAGCACCTCCTTGGTTTGAAGTATAGGGGCCAGAAAGTGGTTCTACCCCTTGACTTGGACTTGGGACGGAAGGATTATGTCCTACTATCGTCCTAGTTTGAAAGTGACTTGTAAGAGGTATAGCCGGTTGACATATTTGGCCCACTAACTTGTTCATTGTTTCATTCAACGTCTTTAGTTGTTTGGCCATATTGTCATAGTGTGCATTACCACTTTGTGTAAATCTTTCCATATTATGAATATTTCGAAGATTTACCTGTTCAACGACGTCTTGAGTGAGTTCTCCAAGCAATGCACGCATGGTTCGAGGACTCAGCTCCGTCATTGGTTCGTAACGACTGTTACTGCTCTGATTTTGTCCATCTGTTCGTGGAGAGGCATGTTGCTCCTCATATCGCTCGATTAAAGACTGGATTCCTCCCTGACTTGCTCCTTCCTTGTCGGATCTCTGAGGCATATTGTTTCACCTTTTGCACTTTCAAACACCTAACACCACTGTCCCACTGGGCGTGCCAAATTGTTTCGCGCGGGTTAACTCGCTAACAATTAAAGAGGATCAGACGATTGTGTAAGGGACGAAAACCTCTTGAGACAAAGTCCCAAAAAGGGGTGTTCTTTTATTGGCGATGAACTTTACAATTGGAAACGAAAAACAACGTGCCTCCAAGGAGCGCAAGCACACGAGTTACAGAAAGGAAAGTGTTTAAATCTAAAAGTTAAAGAAATGAAAATTACATATTTTCTGTTCGAGAGTTTTGGATTCGGTCCTTTGCTTCTACGTCCTTTCTCCCTTTTATACCTCATAGGCGATCTCTTTATAATTAATTGCTCTAAAAAACTGCTTGATCGCCCTATAACTACCCACTTTCTTTGTAGTGGCCATTTTGTCATGAAACTGTCCTTTTAACTGTTGCCATTATCTTGCATCGTTTAACTGCCTTCGATTGAATTCCTTGAGTTGTGGAACGTGATAAGGCTACTTTAACAACCGCCTTGATAACTGCATTCCTTGATAACCACGATGCGTTATGTTTGTTGATACCTTGGGCGACTTGAAGGTTTGGGCGAGAGTAGAATAACAGCTCTGGGCGACCGTATGACACCCATTCGTTCAGATTCTGGGCGACTTGCAAACTTGGGCGATGGCGTTGCCACATTCTTGGGCCCCTTGTTTGTGCCTTCACCTTGACTCGTTCGATTGGACTTCATTCTTTGGGCCATCCGATTTGGGGATTCTCCAATTGGGCTTTACTCCTTGGGCTGTTCGACTTGGGCTGAATTTTTATGTGTCAACAATAAGGTAATATAATCATATTATTAATTACGGAAACCAACTTATACGATCCTCAAACCACTTAGGAAATGTGATTTCTTGAACTTTTTGTAATTTCTGACACCTGGTTCTTTTTAATTCTTGAATCTTCCATATGTTCACCTCATAAATAAGAAAATATAATAATAGCATAATTATTTAAGTAGAAGATCCGTCGCCTTATCGATAAACATATCTCCGTTGTAATTGTTTAATCTCTAAATGCGTTGACAAGTACGGAATCAAGGCATATATACCTAATCCCTGCCATCAGTTCAATTATATTTAAACCAAGTGTCGCATTTGATTTCATTTTTAAGAATGGTTAAGTAATTGCTGTGTTAATTAATAGGCATTTGGGATTAATAAATTAGTTTTGCCAACTCAAAATTCATCCAATTATACAATAATTTTCAAACCTCTAAAATAATAATAATAATTATAAGTTGCTATGTTCTCATTAATTGGGTTTTACATGGATAAGCAAGATATAAAAATAAGTACAATTAGCACTACGCAGTCAAAAATCATAAATTGGACTCAACTTCAACCATGAATTCATCAGTTCCGTGAAAAAGTCCGTTCACATGAGGAATATAGGTTCTTGGAAGATATATCGGGTGACGAGTTCATCGATGGTGTCGGCGGAGAAGAAACAGTGTGTCTGGTCTGGGAAAAAGGAAACTTTACACAAGGCATTCACTCGTTAAGAACAGATACAAACTTCAGAATCTAAATTTTGTTGGATTGAGGATGGAATCGAACAGTGAATGCGCTCAAGCCGAGAAACGAAAAGTGATATATCATATTTTCAAATTTTAGAAATTTTTCTCTATTTTCTTGGAATTTTCTATATGTAAAGTGATAAAAAAAAAAGAAAAAAAGGGTCGACTCAGATAGTTGAATCTACCACGAATTTAAATTTGCAAATATGATGCCCCTTTAAGCATTTTTATTGTCATATGATGATGCCCCTTTAACACTTGATCCCTTCTCCTCTTTTAGTATCCTATGTTTGATTCTTCAATTATTTCCATGATACTTGAAAAAGAGCAGGAAAACTTAATCAGCTACAAAAAGCAAATGCACAAAGAAAAATATGAAATCACGTGTGTGCTTAGGATAACTTATTTTGATGACATTGACTCTGAATTGCTACAAATCTTAAAAATATTAAAAAAGTTCTAATGTACCACTTAACAAAGAAAGGGTAAGAGTTAAGAAATTTGAGCTGCTCTAAATAAGTGTTTGCTAATAGTTATTAAATTAACTTTGTTGAGATGACTCGCAAGGAGGATTGAGACGAGTGAAAGCCTTACACTACTTGTAATGTCATCCCTTGCATGCAAGGGCAGATGTAGACATTTTGGTGAAGTAG